AGATGTGTATAAGAGACTTTCTTTGTTCTTATTCGAACTGTCTGGTTTTGTTGTAGCGCTGGGAGTGCGCTTGCCTGTGCTTTTTTGTCATAGTAGCGCTTCTGTTAGTTTCTCTTCATTTCTAATTGATTTCTTACAACTTTTCTTTTGATTGGTTTTGGTGTCAGTAAGAATTTGTTTGTGTAGAGAGGATTTCTAGTTGAATGTGATAGTAGTCTTTGTGCCGGTGATAACATTATCTCTTGGCACATTGCGTAAGTTCAGAAGATTTTGATAGATATCTGATCCCTCTCTCTAACATCTTTGCCTGCTTTAATTACCGCATTCTCTGCAATGCCATTTGATTGGGCATGTTCAGGACTACTCGTGATGTGAACAAAGTTCCATTCTGATGCGAACTGTTTGAATAGTTGACCTGAATACTGACCTCCATTGTCACTTATGAGAATCCGCGGTGTACCATGGGTAGCAAAGTGACGCTTCAGTTTCACTATTACCGTGGCTGATGTTAAGTCAGTTAAAGTATTCACTTCAAACCATCCGGAATAGGAATCTACGAGTACCAGGAAATACTTATTGTTCCACTCAAATATATCTGTGGCAACAATCGTCCATGGTAGATCTGGAATGTTATGTAAAAGTAAGGGCTCCTTGGCTTGATGTGCCTTTATGGCATTACATACCTGGCAGGATGACACAAACTTGTTTATGTCATCGCACATTGATCTCCAATAGACAATTTCCCGTGCTCTGCTTTTTGTAGCTTCTATTCCAGGATGTCCTTTGTGTAGTATTTGTGTATATGATGACTGGAGAGAGGTAGGAATTATACTTTTATGTCCTTTCATAACTATTCCATTGTCTACTGAGAGTTCATCTCTGAAAGTAAAATAACTTCGTATTTCTGAAGGGCACGACTTTGGAGTTTTTGGCCATCCCTTAAATATTGTGTTAATTAACATCTGTAGAGTGCGATCCTCTTTCGTTGCACTTCGCAACTCTTCCTGTTTAGCATCAGAGATGTGCGATACTTCCATGACTTCATACAGATAATCATCATCATTAGTATCTGTAGTAGGTGCTAGTGATAAGGTGTCTGCCAAATATAGCTTAGCACCTTTATTGTATACCAACTCAAAGTGGTATCTTTGTAACTGCATTAGTAATTTCTGCAGACGAGCTGGCGCTTTTAGAAGTGGCTTCTTCACAATGGTTATCAGTGGTTGATGGTCTGTTTGTATGGTTATTTGTTTCCCATATATGTACTGATGGAATTTCTTTGTTGCAAACACAATGCTTAACAGATCTTTTTCTATTTGTGCATAGCGCTGTTCTGTTTCTGTCACTGTTCGTGAGGCAAATGCTATTGGTTTACCATTTTGGAGGCATGCACAGCCTAAAACATACTGGGATGCGTCGCATGTAAGGGTTAAGTGTTTGGTCACATCGTAATTTGCAAGGACTGGTGGGCTTGTTATCATACTTTTAAGCTTCTCAAAAGATTCCTGCTGATGTGGTTGCCAACACCATTGCGTGTCTTTGTGTAACAACTGCCTTAAGGATACTGCTACTTCACTAAAGTTCTCTATGAATTTCGAAAAAGCTAGTTTGGCATACCAAGAAAACGGCCTAAAGCTTGTGTATCCTTTGGAGCTGGCATCTCCCATATAGCCTTTATCATCTCAGGATCAGGTTTTATACCATTGTCGGTTAGAAGGTGTCCAACATAGGAAACCTGACTCTGTCGAAACTTGCATTTGTTCTTATTCAAGCGGAGTCCAACCTTCTGAATTCTCTGTAGCACATCCTTTAAATTATTGTCATGCTCGTCTAAATCTTTACCAGTGACTAGCAGGCCATCTACAATTATCTCACAAGGATATCCTTCAAAGAGTATTTCCATTGTGCGTTGAAATACTTCTGATCCACTATTGATACCATCTATGTAGCACTTCCTTTAAATTATTGTCATGCTCGTCTAGATCTTTACCAGTGACTAGCATGCCATCCACAATTATCTCACAAGGATATCCTTCAAAGAGTATTTCCATTGTGCGTTGAAATACTTCTGATCCACTATTGATACCATATGGCATTCTAAGATACCTGTATCGGCCAAGGGAAGTTTTGAACCTAGTCAACTTTGAAGATTCTTCATCTAATGGTACCTGCCAAAAAAAAAATTTAGCATCTAAGACCGTAAATACTGTGGCATTGGCTAAATTTCTAGTTATTTCCTCAACAATTTTCATTGGGTGATCGGGTCTCTTCAGAGCACCATTTAAATCTCTTGAATCTATGCACAATCTAATTTCTTCAGTGTTTTTTTTTCTTGTTGCAACCATTGATAACACCCATGTTATTGCCTCTTCTACAGGAGTGATAACGCCAATTTTTGTCATTCGTTTAAGTTCTTTAATTACTTTGTCCTCCATGGGCTTTGGAACTTTCCTTGGTGGTCTTACCACTAACGGTACGGTACTGAAGAGTCTACAGACATCTTATATTTCATCAGTAACTTGCCCAAATCGTCACCAAAAACATCCGAAAACTCTGTTAGTTCTGGAGTATCTTGTGTTACGACATGCACCATGTTATCATTTACGTTTAGCAACTCAAGTTTTAGAGAATCTGCTAATCCAATTATGGGAGTGTAATCACCATCAAGAATTTCAGTTGGTGTTGTTTTCCCGCTGAATCTATCATTAAGTAGTTATAGTATTACCACAATATGCTACCAGATTTGGCTTTTCTGATTGGTCTATGTCATCAGCAGCTTTAATATTTTGCAGAGTATTTAGTGGTATTACATTACACTTGGCTCTAGTGTCTATCTTTAATGTGAGAGGGTGATTGTTGACCATTACAGTTATTTTTATTACATTTTTACTGTCAACTGTATCAATGTTTATGCCTTCTACAACAAAGAATTCTTCATTTTGTGCTTCTTCTGTTGCGATATCATACACTGTCTACTTATTAGGCTTTTTTTGTATCTTTGTTTCCCTTGGGGTTTCTTGTAAGTATGCTTGTGTTGTGCACTAGTACCCCTAGGTTTCCTACACTGTGTTCCAAAATGTCCTAAAATTCCACATCTGCTGCACTCTTTGTTATATGCAGGACAATTATATCGTGGATGAGATGCCCCACACCTTCCACAAACTTTACTGTGCTGCGATTTGGTTTTTTCAAACTTTAGTACGTCGATTGTCTGTGACAATTGTTTGTTTGCATTTTCTGTAGTTTCATGAGCCAGGCATATCTGAATGTCTTTATCCAAAGTTAATTCACTCTGAGATAATAACGCTTTTCTCACTACTTCTTTATCAACACCTCATACGATCCTATCTCTTATTAGCTCGTCAGTTATCGGACCAAATTCACAACTTTTAGATAGTTATTTAGCAAATAACTATGGAGATGGTAATTTAGAAAGAGTGTTGAATTTATGCCTTTCTGGTATAATATTCTTTCGTGGTAAGCATAAGTCACAAAATTTTTTCTTTAGGTCTGCCAGTTTTTCAGGGGACTCAGCTGGAGTAACGTTGCCATCAGCATCAGTAATTGCAGGTTTGTAGGTAAAACTCCTACTTTTTTCAATGGCATCTTGGCCTGCAACATTTAATAATATGTATGCTTTCTCTCTGTCTGATTTATTTCCATGGGCGGCTTCTATATATATATATCGAAATCTAGTTCGAAACGTCTCCAGTTTTCAGCTACGTTTCCTTGAAAGGAAATCGGATCCAGTCTACGTATCCCATAGTCGGCCATGTTTCGTTGCTATGGATGGGCCTAGCTGTACCCAAGCAGCAATAGTGTATACCATCGTACTTTACTGTACAAATGTACCTTCAATATGTGAATCCACTAAAAGTTGATTATTTTCCTCAACTTCTGACACCATGTAAGTTAATGACCAGCCTGAGGCACTTTGTAGATTACTAGGATTGTTTATTGAGGTACTGACCGACATACATGTATGAGATGGGTAACGCACCGAGAGGGCGTGCTTCAAATTAATACAATGTTCTACAGCATCCATTAATGCCGAATGTTGGCTATAATATGTAACCGGCAAGCGAGACATGTCTTCATTTTTATAGCATCTTGGTTGCTTCGATTTGTGTATGAATAAGAGAGGCAATTTGCACGTCCCTGAGGCATTGGCACAGCCCATGATGTTACCCTGTCCTTTGATTTTTTTCGTTTCGTAAAACCAACGAACGATTAGTCCGCCACCAAAGACCTGTCTCATCGGCGTTAAACATTTTATCTCTGGTCAACTGATTTTCCTCAATGATGCCTTCAAGTTTGGTTTTGAACGGGTCAATCGAGTTAACATCAGCTGATCTGCATAAATCTGTGTATTGCTTCATGAATAGAACTAACAATAGTGTTTACAGTCTGGTATCTTTGTCAAAGTTAATGCTCTGTTTAACTCCAAGATTAGTCTTACTTGGAATGAATTGCTCAGAAGCTAACTTTCTTAAATACAGTAATTATTTAAATCACCTTTGGTGCCAGGGTGCCGCGTTTTGGGCACGAGGGCTGTGGAATTAGATTTTGATTGCTACCCCGGGATTTTAGATTTTGTCTTTGTCTAGTTGATTCTGAATATTGTGTCTGTGTGCTATATCAGATTGGTTTTTTCCCCCTACTTTTTCTAGGTAACTTTTTTTGATAACCAACAACTGTAGTATTCAATGGATTCTTCATCTAACTAAGGACTGCATTTATTTAATTGATGCTTTTGTTAATCATCAACTACCTTATTCAATTGATGCTTCAGCTATGACACTGACACTCTTATTATTTCAAATGATACAAAAGCATACTATTTGGTATATGGAAAACTGTGCAGCTGAATTGAAGTACACCTTTTTTACAGTATTCAGGCACAAAGGCATTTTGAGACGTTACAACATTGCATCCAGTAGTAAACATTAGTCTATTGGTACATTGTAGTAATGCCCCTACTTTGCCTATTTTCATCAGTTGATCCGAGATAAGGATTCACATCCTGAATTCTTGTGTGTACTGGAAGCAAAGCAAAGTTCATTGTCGGTTTTTGGTATTTATTGGCTGATTATTAACTACATAATTATTTTTGTTTGCAAAAGAGAAGAGAATTAAATAGTCTAGCAATAAAGCCCGAATATTTCTTTTGTATAATTTTTGTTTTGTCATTTATTTATTTATTCAATGGAAAATGCAATTGTTGGTTATCTGCAGCATCCGTTTAATAATGGAAACTGGTTTGTTTGGACAATTACTTGTAGTTCCTGCATAGTAAACAATTTAGACATGGTGATGAACTGCAACCTGTATAGAAACTGAATATAAATAATGGTAAAAATAAATATATAATTGTTGCAGTTTTCACTTAAAGTAATAACTGCGGGTATTCATAACTGCTCAATTCCTTGTTAGAATCAATCAGTTGTAAACTAATTCAGAAGTTCATTTATTCCTCCATCTTGTTTTTTTTTTTTTCAGAATTTTATATCTATAAAAAAAAGTGATCAAAAAAAGTTACCTAGAAAAGTAGGGAAAAAATTATAGCACACAATATTAATCAGAGCATTTACTTTGACAAGATACCAGACTGTTAACGCTATTGTTTAGTTCTATTCATGAAGCAATACACCGATTTATGCAAATACTCATAAAATAAAGTAACAGAGTTACTAAGTGGCACTCAGTGTCTAGGTAGTTTAGTACTAAATGCAGTAATAAGTGTAATGTGTATTTAGTCAAAAAAAAATCATCTGTTCACTAGCAATACTTGTTTATTTTATTTTTATAGAGATAAGATGGAGGAAGAAGAAGATGAAATGGAGGAATTGTAAGTTGTAAATAAAGTAATATCATCCATAGATTTTAAACTAATTTCGGATGATTTGCCATAAATCTTTGATAGTTGAAATTAAAGTAATAAAATACAAGATGTATCTGGTATCATGTTTAACAGTTGGTAAAGAATCTATATATTCTTATGAATATGTGAATCTTCATCTCGGATCAACTGATGAAAATAGGCAAAGTAGGGGTATTACTACAATGTACCAATAGACTAATGTTTACTTCTGGATGCAATGTTGTAACGTCTCAAAATGCCTTTGTGCCTGAATACTGTAAAGAGGGTGTACTTCAATTCAGGTGCACAGATGATTACACTAATTTATGCAAATGCTCATAAAATGAAGGAACAGAGTTACTAAGTGGCACTACAGTGTCTAGGTAGTTTAGTACTAAATGCAGTAATAAGTGTAATTTGTATTTAGTCAAAAAAATCATCTGTTCACAAGCAATACTGAACAGTAACAATTTTTTATTCATATCAAAATAGAAAGTCAACAACCTTGACATAAAAAAAATGTTATTTAACACTTGATGACAAATAAACACCCTTCCTTCACCCCCTATTTTTTGTATAAAGTACTTTTTTCCTGGATAGACCCTCATTGAGATCAGACCATTGTAATAAATGTAAACAATGGTATTGTTTGCTAATACAGTTGAATATCTATGATAGCTTTTGCATGCTTCGTCAAACTCAAATATCTATACTGTAGAGTTTTTTTCTGTATCACACTATTCAAATTACTGATTATGTCAGTCACTCTTGCTAGTATTCCTGAAGAATAAGTGCAATAATCAACAGTTGCATTAATTAATGATTGCATAAAACTGCATACTTATAGTATCCAAAACAGCCTTAAACCAACAATTACATTAGTTGAAGATTTTTATAAAACTGCTTACTTAATTCTTTTAAAAAAAACAGCCTAAAAAAACTATTGCATTAAATCATGCAAAAACTACATGATGTATTAATCAAAAACAAATCTAAACCAAGAACTATGGAAGATTGTGTGTATCAGACTATCTCACCGTGCCTAACATAAAAAATTACATTTTGAGTTAACTTATTAATATTGTCACTTTTTGAAAAAAAGAGCTTATCTTGCCGAGTTCAGCACTTAGTGCATATTTTTGACTTTCCGCCATATTTCTAGTACTGTTCCGAAAAATTTAAAACATTCAATGGAATAGTGTGTGTTTTAGGCTATCTCACCGTGCCTAACAACAAAAAAATTTGGACTAAACTTTTTAACATTGAGACTTTTTGACCAAAAGTGCTTATCTCGCCGAGTTGAGCACTTAGTGCAAATTTTTGATTTATTTTCGCTATAATTTGAGTACTGTTCCGAAAAACTTTTCAATAAAAAATAGTGTGTGTTTGAGGTTATCTCACCGTCATAAAGCTCTAATCGAAGACATGTACTGTTGGTGCTATTTTGTCTACGGCCATACCACGTTCAAAACACCGGTTTGCTGAAGGTAACGAACGTCGGGCCCGGTTATAGATGCAGGCCTAGGCCTATTTTTTTTTTTTTTTTTTTATAAACGAATGTAATTATTTCTAGTT